TTTCGTTCGCTAAGAAGCTAAATAAACATAAATGAATATAAAAAGAACATAAATGAACGAATACAAATGAACAAAAACAACCTCTTTACAGGGCCGGCCCTCAATGCTCTGGTTACGCTCTTTCATTTCTCGGTTGATTGTGGTAAGGATTGATCTATGGTTACCTCTACGACTTTGCCCTAGATGCTATTGATTACGCCATATTTGAGCGATTGAACAAACAACAGAAGACTAACCCTCCACTCCATCTTCTTGAATCTCGACTCTCACTTGTTTAGGGGTTTCGAATCCCTAATCAGACACGATTGAAGCACTTGATTTCACCTTTGATTGACTCTTCATCCGCACATGTAAGTTTTTGCTTCATAGGCTTCAATCGAATTTATGATTTCCAGATTTCCACCATCAATTTTTGAACTGGAAGATAGTTGTGAGATATATTACAGAATATATTCATGTTAATTGTTAAGCTATGCAAATGTGTTGCCATATTGGTACTCAAAAGTGTAGAAAGACTACTCTCTCTGTTTGCACCATCAGTTTTTTGAACTGGAAGATAGTTTGAGATGTAATTAGTTAGATCTTACCCAAGACACTTTGAATTGGAACAAAATGAAGAATCATCTTTTTGTTTTCTCTTAATAACCCATCCTTTGCTTTCCAGCCTTATCAGCTCTTACCCAAGACACTTTGTTGCAACTGTTGTTCATTAGCTCTTACTGTTGTGAATGTGAAAATTCAGAATAAGGCAAAAGCTCAAGAGGAGCAATGGCAGAACACATTAGAGTACATACAAATTTTGGAAACTTGTGGCTTGATTAAGGTGAGGTTGTTTCCTTAATTGATTTCTTCATTGTTATCGTTGAATTTCTCATAATTAGGATTTCATTTCTTTTAGTTTTTATGGATTATATGTATAATCTTATTTCATCCTTTTGAGTTTCTTTTTAGTTTTGATCATCTGATAATAGCTTGATTAGCAAATAACACAATTGGGGGTCTCATCATGAACAACTTTTGAGTAAAATGGTTTTGGTGGATGATTATATTGATAATACATTAATATGGTTGCTAACTTGCTGCTGTTGTTGATAATTGTAATATGGATATGGTTGATGCTACTGGTGATAATTGTAATATGGGCCTACTGATACAATATCTGTATGACAAATCTTTCTGAGTTTAGACACAATTGTAACCGGATCTACATCCCTTGTTATAGTCAATTTCTTGTCTTTCATGCCCATGGCTATTGAATCCACACCTGTTTTTCACCAAATCATTATCAAAATTTGAATCTTTATGGTGATTTTAGATTTGGGTTTGCTTCAGATTAAATGAATTTGATGAATCAAGAACGGAGGCCATTAGATTTTTGTTGTACTTGGGAGACTGGAGACTTTTTTCATGGCCTTTTATTTGATTTTCTCATTAAAGAAGTCCAAGTTCAACACAATGTTCAGCAGTAAGTTAAAAGAAATACAACAAAATTAGAAGAAACCCAGATAAGATTGGCATATAAAACATGTGAATTATGAGTTTTGATATCAAAAAAGGAAGAACACACAATCAGTCACATGTGTGTTTACTGCTTAATGAACCAAGGCTGGAACATGTACATACACACAATCAGTCACATAACGATAAGCATGGTTACCGATTTTGCTTTAGGAATTCTATCAATGAACACATGTATGTAATAACTCTTCATATTGTTTACTTGATTTTGCAATGTAGTCAAAACTCAAAAGCTTTGGGCTTTTGGGACTTGGGAGAACAAAGAAGGCAAGAATCAATATCATCTTCAATCCTCAAGGCTGGTTGTTTTATATTGTAAGACTTTTAATACATGATTTGAACTGTTATATTTTGTTTTGTTTATTACTTGTTTTAGATAAACTATAATAATAACTATAACAGATGTAATAGGGCCTCCAAAAAGATTAGAACGACCTTGTTATTGTCGTTACCACTAATTAAATAACGGTAAATCCCATTTGCTTTTTTATATACTAGGGGCATTTTTTTAGCTTTCGGCCCTGATCATCAAAAATTTCAGGACCGGCCCTGTCTTTACCTCCAAAGATGGTGATATTATCTGCATACTGCTTACCGTCCCTGAATTCCAATCCTTTGCATTTGGTTGGTATCTTGTTGAACATTGTATATTGAATTATTAATGGTCAACATTCAAGAAAAATAAAAATAATGAAAAGAAGTCAAAACACATAAATTTGACATGAAATGGTTATTAACAAATGAATCAAAAGGACTAGCAAATTGAGCCCATTTTTGTTGAGAAAGTACCCATTTGCTTAGCCCTTGAATATGGTAAGCATGCCTTTTGGAGGACCATCTTTTTCAAAGTTGAAATTTTGTACATGTTTTAGTCAAATCTCCCCATCTCATTTCATTTTATAGCAACATTTTTAATGTAATTCTTGAAATATTATGTAAATGACTTTCCTAATAATAAAAAGACAAAAAAATGGCTTTACGTATTTGTGTAAACCATATCTTTTTTATTAGAAAAAGATGGTTTATCCAAAAATGGTTTTTTTTTACGTAAAATAATATATGTGAAACTGGCTCTTACGATTTCTAATATATTTTTGGTTAGCATTTGATTGTCGTATAGATTCAAATTCATATGAGAACAGTAACCAGATAAGAGAATAAGAAAATAATCGAATCATATGTTATTTCACGCGATTTTGGCTGCGATTTGAGTTTGCAGGCCACGTTGCCTACACCCTCCCTTACGTTGCCAAAAATCACATGTGATTTTGTATGTGAATTGATCGTTTTGATGTTTTCTTATTTAGTTACTGTTTTCATCTTAACCTCCCTCATCGTTTTTATATAGATATAATTTTCCAAGATGTTATTTCAACAAGTTAATGGAGATGTCTTTTTTGCAACTAGAGTCAAAACCTATGGTTGAATGCCATGGCTCTTACTCTGGGTTTTCTTTCCGGATACTATCTTTTTCCTTTTAAGAATACAAGATTTATGTACGACAAATAATTCACACCCCTTTTATTTTTTGATCAAGAATAACTTGTTTTTCCCTTTTTTACACTTTAAACTTTACAACAAAACATTGTGAAGGTAACTTTTACAGTGTTTTTGCTGTGAAGGTTCAGGTTTCTTTTACCTTCACTACATTTTGCTGTGAAGTTTCAAGTGTAAAATGATGGTCTTGCGAAAACAAATTGGTCTTATGTAAACCCTGCCCTTATCTTTGATCTTTTAAAAGTTTCAGCTAAACAAATGCATGAATAGGACTAGGACTAGGACCGATCTTGAAATGCAAAGAAAATGAGGCCAAAATGTAAAACAAATCCGGGTTCAACAAATTGAAGAAAATACCCAACCGGACTTTACTCAAGTGAAAGAGGAAGACACCGTTTATCAAACGCCTTATCGGGTAAACACTTACCAACAAAAGTCATCACCCTCACTTACCTTATTAGATAACATTATCGGCCATCAAAATAGATTATTGGAAGCGTCTCTTACCCGATAAACGCTAACCGGGTAAGAGTTTTATCTCTCATTTACCAGGTAATATTCTCGGTCATTGCTATGTCTCTTACTGGGTAAGATATCCGTCTCTGTCGTATTCACCCGGTAAGGTGACACCCGATCGTTTGGAAAACCACATCCAAGAAAAACAAAATTAAGCAAATTCATCGTATCACTTGAAACAAAATATACGGAAAAAGTGTTTAATGTTGTGAGAACTCCCAACTCTTTTCAATGTTAATGCAGTAAGCTTGCATATTACAGATGTTGATGAGAAATATTTGCCACAACAAATGTTGCTTTACAACCAAAACCCCGAACGGAAGACTTCTAATCGCAACTTCAGTAAATCTGAAATCGTACTTACCAATTTGCTAAAATGCAAGAAAATCAACACTTCGCAAGAATTTTAGACGAAAAATGGAAACCAAAACAGAATATGATCACACTTGTCACTTTTTGTTCAAGATAGTCGAGTACAATGGTTCAAGAAGTCGTTTTTTATAGTAAAGATGCTTACATGAGCATATTTTCAAGCTTCATATACTTGCAAAAATACCCGAAATATATGCAAGAGGAAAAAAAGCAGAAATACAGATAATGAAATGCATATTATTCACAAATGAATACATGAGCACATACTCTCTACTGCAACAAGTACCACTACATAAAGCAACTCTCCTAAATGTATGTACAGTTCAGCAGATATAACAACAATTCAGAAAAGCAACAATCAGGCATTACAATTTTCTGTATACCACTAGAATCTTTAATGCTAAAAAACAGAATCAAATAGAAATACAAGTGAAGAACATCAATCAACATGACCATCTAGAGATTTCGCCTTATTCAAGTTGTTAATGGCAATGAGTTGGTATGCTAATGCACCAAAATCTGGGCCATTTCCGCATGAATCGAGCAAATTTTAGGCCGTCTGGCCAATGATGTTGATGCTATCATAAACTTTAGTGACCAAAACTGAATCAGATCAAAATTAACAAGTAAGGTGTAATTTGTTCTTTGTTGCTTCTTTTTCTACAATTTTTCTTACATCTTTCTGATCTACTGCAAACAAATTAAGGGCCTTCAATAGCATAGATTTGTTGCAAGATTAAGACACACATCATCAAGATTGTGCATAATGGATCAAGTCTGGTATAAGATTAACATCTTTTTGAGCAATGAAAGTAACACAGAATTATAAAGGAAAGAGATACCATTTTCATCATTTAAAAAACTGTTTGTATGGAAAAACTATTGTAATACCAATTCCATGCCCAATTTCAGAAAAGCAATTCATACCCATTAGAACTACATATACATCATTCTAAGAAACATCACCTCAACTGTCTCCTCCTAAGTTCCAAAGAAGATTGGCCTTCTAAATTTGAGACACCCCTGCTCCTAGAAGAAGCCCGGCGAGATATAGTCAGATCGATCTCAAGAGAACCATCAGTTCCTAAAGTACCCATGTGCAAGACAGTAGTATCAAGGTTTCTTCTTGAAGAAAGGGGCACAGAAAGATTCATCTCTGCAGGTTGGGGCTCTGATTGAATATTAACAGTAGTGTTAGCAACCGAAATGTAAGTTTCAAGATCTTCAACAAACCTTTCTGTACTGTTTACTGCAGATGAAATCGAAGAAAGTGAAGCAGCATCTGACATTACCCTAGAGAATTGGCGGCCATCATGACTTTCCTCCGCCTCTGAACCGTGCAGCACCACCGGATTAGCTACAGATGTTGGAACTAAACCGCTAAGACCCAGAGGATGAGAGTTTCCCTCAATCAAACCAAGACCAATTCTAATCCTTCGAAGTGCATCTGCCACCGGAATATGAGAAACCCCCCTACCAAAATTCTGCTGCCTAACACCTTCTACTCTGCGGGCACGCGGCCTTGGAGGGATTTTCACCCCAGATTCTAACTCCAAAACCTGTGAATTCTTTCCATTGCCGTAAATTGGAGTGATATTTGAATCAATTACTTCTCCTTTGCAAGCTGGACATTCTTTTGAGATTGAATCCACATATGGAACCTGATAAAAGCAACCCCAGCAAAACAAGTGACCACAACAAGTCAAAATCGGATCTTTAGCCATATCCAAGCATATGTTGCAATCAAAGAAATTCCCATTAACACCGTTGGCATCAGCAACCCCACCATTATCGGTTTTCTTGCCATCTAAATCCATTTCCAATGCTTTCGCCAAATGGCTGATATCCCTTTTGCAATTCCTCTCCCTTTCTTCACCACCGCCATTCATCGGTCCCTCCACAACCCCATTGTCGCCTTGATTCTCATTTCTCATACCAACGGCAGACTCACTTACCGACATGTAAGTTAACTCTGGATTGTTCATAAGCCGTCGCCACCGTTGACGTTGATGAGCCCTAGCGGTAACTGCCTCCAGCTGCCTAATCCGATCCTCAATCCCGCCTCGTGAGGTTTCCATTTCATCTAAGAAAGATGCTAACCCTGGAGACGGAGGCGCCGGCGGTGACGATGGCGATGGGTCGACAAAAGGCGATCGGTTCAAATCGAGACCGATAACCATATCATCATCCATCAAGCTAATAAACCCTATATCTTGCAAAATCTTTCACCCACAATTCACATTAAACCGCAGATCGTATAAGAACACATACACATATACAGAATTGTAACTATAAAATGACCTGATTAAGAGAGATTTTGATCGCCCAGAAGAGCCCTAGATATTTGATATAACCCCCAACCCGTTGGATTATGCCCAAGCCCTCACCTTCCATTGAACCAATTTAATGGTTGCATTTAATTCCAGAATTTCTGATGGGTTGTAATTAACGCTGTCTTTTCGATTTTAAAAGAAAGTGATGAAAAACAATGTAAAAAGAAAAGAAATGAAAAAAGATAAGATATTTTTACAAATATTTCTGCATTTATTTTTCAATTGGGTTAGAATTAATGAATAAATCTGTAATTTTATAAATATTTATAATTGTTTTAATTTTATCATTTCCTTTCCTTCTTTGTAAGAACTCGAGAACACAACATATTTTACCAAGAAAACCCAACAATTAAATTAAGATCAAGAACGTCACAAAAGGGCAACAAGTCCTCGTCCAACCAACCAGGAGAGCCGACCCTCGAGACTGGTTCGACAAAGAATTGAGATCACCTAGCTAACTAACTCGTGGGCAACCTTATTTATATTTCTCCGAACAAAGTTAACCTTAAAAGACGGCAAAGCTTCTAAGACTGTTTAACAAGCATGAACAATGTCCTTAAACTCCATGCAATCCTCCTCACCGTGCATTTGAGCCCTGACTATGGTTTGAAATCAATTTCGAAGAGGACATCCTCGTGCCCTATGTCTCAAATCCACAACATTGTCTCGAGTAAGGCGATCGACTCGCATTCCTTTATTTCTGAGATGCATTGTTGTTGAGCCATATGGTAAGCAATAAATCTCCATTCACCATCATGAAGCACCATCATCGAACTCATGGCATATCTGTCGATGAAAACAACGGCATCACAATTGCATTTCAGGTATAGGTCAGGTGGCGGATGCCACTGATTACAATTCACTTGTCCATTTGCTGATGCATTTGAGATCCCCCCATACAGGTCCTCTTTCAATCTTCAACCACTTAGAATCTGCAAGCACGACCATTTGAGAGGGTTTTGAGACCTGCTACAACACTCATTGATTCCTTTCTTGCAAAATACTCCACAAAACCGCACCTATCTTTTCATTGTCATAATTGTAACACCTTAAAATTTTTAAGTAAGTAAGATTCCTGAATTTCATAGTTATCGTTATTTCATTTTTTTGAATAACTAAAATCAGGTATCTGGTAGTCTGGTTACATTTGGGTATCATGTTAAGCAATGAAAGAGGCTTAAATAAGTGAAAAGTGAGAAAAACCGTTGGTACAAGTCTTGATATTGCGCCTGCTTGTACCTAGCAATAGTTCCAGGGGGCACAATATCATGTCAGGATCGCCCTCTACGTCTAAACTTTTGGTACATCTCGTGCTATAGTGCCAACGATTGTGCCAGTGGCACTATAGCATGGCAGGATCTCTAGAAATGCCCCCAACAACATAAATGCCCGATTTTTAGTTTATTTCCTCATTTACTCCTCTAATCTTGTAGGAACCTAGATCCTCAAATGCACTAGTAATCACAACTTAGTTCAACAAGTGAGCAGGAGCAATAACTGTGAAACTAGTAGGTAAGCAGAAATGATGACGACACAAAAATCTTTGAAGAATTGATTAAATCGGTTGTATTTGATACTACTGAGATTACACCAAGAACACAGTTGTGTGTTTACAAAATATCTCTCAACTAGTCTATTTCTCACAAGTGTGAATTTCTCTCTTAAGAATATAAAATGAGCGCGTCTTCTTTCTTTCAAGATTGTTAAATATCACCTAAGAGGAAATACCCTTTTGTAGGCATTTTCAGAAAAAGAATCTTCCATAATTTGGGAATTGGGAGAAGTCAGTGCGTCCACCAATTATCTTCCTCCACGTGTCTGATTGAAGTAACTGTATCTGGATGCTTGTCGGCCTGAGACAGGAGCACTTGTAAGACGGGTAGTGCCTTCATGCATAAGGGAGAGTTGGAGACCTAGAAACTCTGTGTCTGGAGTTGGCTCTGTATCGAAGAATTGGCTTTTTGACGCGCATGTCTTCGGTCTTCATCCCTCTCTGCGACGAGCTTTGTATCCGGGTATCAGCTCTATATCCGGGTTCCTGGTTCTAGGAAGCTTTCAGATTAAGTCCTCTTGACTAGAGCAAGAGGCTTTTTACTTATATTTGTCAAAATAAGTATTCTAACAATCTCCCCCTAAGTGTAATAAAAAGACTTGCTGGAATTAAAATATATTCTAGAAAGCAAGAGGCCAACATGGTCCTCAATAAGATACTTATATTAAAAATTGACAACTTTAAATACAAAGCAAAAACAATTACAAAGATAGAATCCTAGAAATGTTGAACTTTCATGAACCTCCTAAGAAGCTCACGAAATTCTAGTATACCATTGATTGAGTGTATAAGCTCATAGACTATATCTTTTATAGAAGGGTCTTGGTCTCCCTTTCGAAGTACATGATTCTTGATCCAGCACAGAGTATCATTCGGGTACTTGAATCTTTGGTCTGTTCTGAAGAATACACCCAGCTCTGAATCTACAATGACTGTCCAGAAAGGGATGAACTTGATGCCTTCAAGATCTTCATTTGGTGCAGTGACAGATAGTTTATCCACTCCCATGTCCAGAGCTATTTGAAGTCCACATTACTTCTAAACTCCAACAGATCCCTCATCATTTGACGTATAACAAAGTTGGCTAGCGCGAACTTGATCCCTTTATCCCTCTTGTGGTCCGTATGAAAGTATAGAGTGAGAAGATACCAAGGGTTTAGATTTATGAGATCATAGTCAGTGAATACACTTATCTTTCCCTAAGATTGTTCCACCATGTATTGATGAAATATGATATGTTTGTGGGCGAAGGTCCTCTTCTTGATGTCGAATACCTGTTTGATCCCATCCAGAAGTGAACTTCATGCATGGGCAGAGTATACTGATGAAGGAACTTCTGCCTTATGTGTTCTTGGGCCATAGGATGCAGGTTGATCTTGATTCGCGACACCTCTTCCCTGTCTTTGTATAAGAATTGATAAATTTTCTCATCAGCAATTGGGTCTTCAATCTCTTTGTTCTTCGAAAGAGGCCTCATCATTGCATCCATCTGATCCCTAATTTCTTCTACTCTGTCATACACGGGATTAGAGTTCTGAGGTCTATTGTTGCTGGCTTCTTGTTGATTAGGATTCTGTGGGCTTTGTTTTAAAGCTTGGTGCAAAGGTCTGCTTGGCTCTAGAGCAAGAACAGTTGGGGCAGACACAAAAGTGAGTCTTGTTGGATTCACCTGTTTTGCGACAAGGGGTTCATCCTTAGACTCTAATTCTATAACATTTATGACTACTTCCTTTTTGTCTTTGTCAGGTAGAGTAGAGCTTCCTCCATGAAAGGTTCAGAGGAGGATGATGATGTTGATGAAGAGGCGTAGGCGTGAGTAAGGAGCTTCAAGGATGAGTCCATTTCTTCACCAAGGATGGCTGTAGAGGCAGGATCTGGTTCATTTTAATGTTGTGAAGAAGCAGGCTCTGGATGTGATTCGTGGACAGGCATAGAGGAGATGGGGGCAGCTTGAGTTGTGTTTCAGTTGAGAGCTCTCATCCTTTTGATGGTCTTAAGGACTAGATTCTTCTGGATCCTCTTGATCATCAAACCTTCTCTGTCTCCTTGAGCTTTCTTCACATGGCGACTCTTGTTTTCTCAATCTCCTTTTTCTCTTCTTTTTTAGATCAGTTGGTGGCATCTGTTTCACCTTCTCATCAAACATCTCTACAATATCAGATGCTGCTTAAGTGGCTTTGGTGATCTCCACATCAGCTCTAACCTTGAATGCAGCCAGAGATCGACGCATCTCTGCAGCTACGGTCTTAGCTGTAGAGTTGAAGTCTGAGGTGAATGTAGAGACCTTCTGGATTTTTGGTCAAGCTCAACTTATCCTCATCATCCCAATCCCTTCTAGCCTTGGGAGCTCAGATGATAGGAATTTCAGCAGTACTAGCAATACCAAGAACCCTAGGGATAATGGTCATGGGTACATAGGGTCCATTTTTGATGGATTCATACAGTTCTAGGTTAAGACCTTCATAGAAGTTTAGCATCCTTATCTTCCACTGAGGATATTCATCCCTAATGAGAGTAGGTGATTTAGTGAGAGATCCAACACTATACATTGAGTTCCAGGATTGATTTGACATTTTTCAAGAAAATAGTACAACAAAAAAACTAGAAGTTTTGTAGTGTAGAAACCGAACTTGAAGAGCCCAACCTGAAGAAAGGATTCAAATACTATTATGTTCATAGAAATAAATGAGATCTGCAAATTTTCACAAAAAAAATACAAATATGGAATTAAAACCGATTTCAACGAAGACAAAAATAACCAAGCAAAAGAGGATATCTTTTATGTATTGGATCCAACTAATCAATAGACTGATTAGATGGCTCTGGTACCAATTGTAGGAACCCATATCTCAAATGCACTAGTAATCACAACTTAGGTCAACAAGTGAGCGGAAGAAATAACTATGAAACTAGCAGGTTAGATAGAAATGATAAAGACACATAAATCTTTGAAGAATTGATCAAGTCGGCTGTATTTGATACTAGTGAGATTACACCAAGAACACACTGTTGTGTGTTACAAAATATCTCTCAACTAGTCTATTTCTCACAAGTACGAATTTCTCTCTTAAGAATATGAAATGAGTGTGTCTTATTTCTTTCAAGATCGGTAAATATCACCTTAGAAGAAATACCCTTTTATAGACATTTCCAGAAAAGGAATCTTCCATAATTTGGCAACTGGGAGAAGTCAATGTGTCCACCAATCATCTGCCTCCACGTGTTCGATTGAAGTAATCATTTCTGGATACGTGTTGGCCTGATACAGAAGCACTTGTAAGACGAGCTATGGAAATTCACGCATAAGGGAGAGTTAGAGACCTAGAAGCTCTGCATGTATAGTGCAGAGGCTCTGTGTCTAGAGTTGGGCTCTATTTCAAAGACTTGGCTTTTTTACGTGCATATATTCGATCTTTATCCCTCTTTGCGACGAGCTCTGTATCCGA